ATACATGTTAGAACCTGGAAGTTCGGCTTTTCCCGGAGCATGGCTCTAATGCGTGCTGTTTCTGCATGACTTTTTCGGCACTCAGTGTTGAAAAGGTTCGCCATCACTGACATAAACCGAGGAGAAACATGCTGTGGATATGCCATTAATGCCAGTGTGGATCAAAGGCTGAAAACATTTTCCCAAACAAGTTCTCCCTCTCGTCTATAGCTTTTCTCCTGCTACAGCCATAGCATTGCATCATGCTAACCTCAATAAACATGATCCACAACTAATTTATAGGCCTGGACTCACATACCATGATTGATTTAACCATAGTTTAAGTGAATCTCAGCTGGTTGGATTCACACAAGCCAAAAAGTAATTGCATGTCAGCTTAACACAATATTTAATTGAGCCTGAAGCAATATTTGAATCCAGGATTTGAACATGATTGATTTAACTATGACTAATATAGATGGCCTGATATACCATAAATAAATGGCAAAGGAAGAAAGGGGATGAGGAAGTAGTATGCTATGCTTCTCAATGATTAACTATAGTTAAAAGATTAATAGAATTATAATGTCTGCAGTGGGTTTTTTAAATAGTTGGTTAATAATAGGTCTTATCTTAAATTGTCAAAAGAGCACCTTTTACAAATGTCAGATTCACTTGAGAAATGTACTGTATCCATAAAATAAAAATATTTTGCTTATGTTATTCCAACAGAACTTGACTGAATTTAAAAGAAACTAAGATAATTTCATCCATCATTTATCTTATTCAAACATTATCAAGAAAACCACATCTCGCAAGTTTTAAAATTGGACTATGAAAGTACAGTATTATCAACTCAAATATTTTGACAATCCAATTCTTCCTTTCCTTGGTTTTAAAATTATTGGGAGAAGCTCTCTTCTATAAAAAGAAAATCTTTATTGCAGTCAATGATCAGTATATACTAAAGAGCAGTAATATAACACAGGCTACAAGGATAACTGCAGATCATAAAATTAAGTGGACGTATCATTTGGGTCAGCTCCACATTTTAAATATAACAAAATTTAGCTATACTTAAAGTAACAGAATTGTATATATCTGAAACTAAAAATGATAAGTTGGACTGGTTGAAATGGTCAGGAAATGTATTTAGATGTAGGGCTATCAATTCTGAGTGTATTCCAGCACAAAATAGACAATATTAGATTTATTTTATGGTTTTGATAGTCTCTTCACAGCATGGGCAGAGCCTTAGTCCAAAAGGGATGCCTTAGCATTTCCCAAAGGGGTTTTTTCAAAAGGCAACTGA